CCGAGTTTTCCAGTGGGTATGGTTGTATGTGATAGTATTGGCCGGGGGTTTTACCTTATGTCCTGGCAGTCGCGTGCATATCTGCTATCTTCAGCCGTTCTTCGCGACTTTCAGGCTGGGGTTTGGATCGAAGAGATGTGTTTCAACTTTCAACATCTTTTTGTTCTTGACGAATGACATGTCTTTCTTATCATTCTTCCAATCTCTTCACTCATCTCTGGTGGCTCTTCTTGATTGGGTGACATCAACGGAGACCTGCATTCCTAGCGGTTAAGTTGGCGGGCGTGGCGGGTGTGGCGGGCTAGGTTGCAATGGCCAAAGTCTCGAGGCAGAAACTACCCAACAGCAACTTGTGTAGATTTTTATCTCCAACCCCGCACTTTCCTTCTCTCCTTCTTCGAAAAAGATCGATCGGAACATCAAGAGAGCCCTGAAACTATCGCCAGTTGCGAAGTCGTTACCCACCCGAGTTCCGTTCCTTGCTGGAGTGCCTGTGTTTGAAGACTAGGGGGTTTGGCAGGCTATCTCCCTTCAACAAAACTACTCATCTCGATCATCAAATTCACCTTGTTAGTTCTCGCATCTCAGAACGCTCTTTTTCAACTCCCAGGGAGTCGCCTTGCTCAAGTTCCCTTCAACAACTGTCAACCCGCCATAAACAGAATCCGCCTCAAGCCGTCACTTCAGTTGATGTCTTGAGCTGCTGCTGCGCTGAGAGTTCAAGACAATCCCAAGATGCGCCTACTCAAGACCGACACGTTTGAACTCGCCGAGTTTGTGGGCGAAGGAATACCAAAATACGCCATCCTGTCGCACACATGGGAAGGAAAAGAGGTCAGCTTCCACGACATTCAGCAACCGAATGCGCTTACATACCTGAAAACCGACAAGACGCCTACTCCAGCTTGGGCGAAGATCAAGCACGCTTGCCGTTTGGCACAGGAGGACAAATTCGAGTTCATCTGGATAGACACCTGCTGTATCGACAAGTCCAGCAGTGCCGAATTGCAGGAGGCCATCAATTCCATGTTCGCGTGGTACCGGAAGTCAGCCATCTGTTATGCTTTCCTCTCGGACATAAAGAGGATCGGTTTCTACATTTGGCAACATCCATCAATCGATATCACCGGTTCGCGCTGGTTCACAAGAGGCTGGACTTTGCAGGAATTGTTGGCCCCTGACTTTCTCTATTTCTACGACGCATCCTGGAACAAATTGGGCTCGCGCAATGGCTTTGCAGAGAGTATCTCGAAAGCGACGAGAATTCCAATCATTTGCCTAGCTGGCCCAGAGTACGGTCAATGTGACATGTACCAGGCTAAAGACGGCACCTTCATTCGCACACCAAAAACAAGGAAAAGGATCGAGGACGAGCTTCAAAAAGCCACGGTGGCGGCAAGGATGTCTTGGGCCGCGAACAGACAAACTACCAGAGTCGAGGACGAGGCATACTGCCTGCTTGGGCTATTTGATATCAATATGCCTATGCTTTACGGAGAGGGCAACAAGGCTTTCATGCGACTTCAACATGAGATCATGAAAACATCTGACGATGCCACCATCCTCGCTTGGGGTTATGGCATGCCTATCGACCGTGATGCATACATGGATATGGCTAATGAATATGCTGCGCATAATCCCCAAGTGTACCGTCAACACCTACGTGAGCAAGCATGCAAGATCAGACCTCGTTCACTGTTGGCCACATCTCCTGCGGATTTTCGGTTTGCCGGAGGTCTTAAGAAATACAACGGTTCCAATAACCTGTCACTCGAATTTGGCATCAGCCAGCGGGGTCTGTTGTTGGATGGTCTCTATGGATTCGACATAAATTCGGGTCTCCAATACCTCTTTCTTCCGTGCACCGACCCCGAAGAAAATGTCTTGGCTCTTCCAATGGTTTCCCTGATGAGCATCTATCGTTCTCAATCCTACCATGATAAAAGCCTCGCGAACACCCTTTGTGTACCTCTACCAACGGCGCATGAATTCGCGATGTCGCATTATTTGCGTCACACTCTGTCAATAAAACAGGCAAAATACTTCCTCTGTGTTGAGCGTAAGACCCCGCCACCCCCGTCAGTTTCGCATCAGCCCTTCGACAGCGGAACCTGGGAACTGTGTTTCCGGAAACAACCACCGTTGCCGAATCATGGAGCTTTAGATTTCAGTGTGGAGACGATCTTTCCTATTCAGTTAAAATTACCCTTTCGGTTCGTCGCCGACATGTCGCCCACTCAACGCTCAGAAAGCCACTCTGGCTTAGTTTTTCCTCCAGTTACTGGGAATTCCGAGCAATATAAGCCTCTGGCAAGCAGTCAATTGTTCATCTTGAACATCAATGGCAAGAGAATATTACTGGTGCTGGGTCGGGAGACCGGCAATCCTCTGGCTTGCGATGCTGCGATGTTGGATCCAAAAGAGTTGCTGAGACCTACATGGTACAACCTCTCGCAGATCCTAAAAGACGGGTTCAGAAAGGCTCACAGAATACGAGCTTCCAAGTCCCCAGATTTGGTTACCCAGCCGTATCTTGTCTTCAAGCTATTCCCATGGCTGGAGTTGTGGGCAAAACGGTGGTAACATTTAACCCCAACGCGGTCACCCAAAGATTATGGATGGCTCAGCGGAATATTGGAGCGTCTCCGGGAAGACTCTGGGATCTATTGATAATTTTCTGTTCTGTTGCTTTCTAGCAAGCAGCCGACCTACTCAGGATTCCGCACGTTCACCCGAAGACGAGGTCCAGTTGGCACCCTGGTATTTTTCTTTCCCCTCTCACCTTTTTGTCGTTTCAATTTTGACTTCCTCTTTAGTCAATTCTTTTTCTATGATCATGGTTTCAGCATCGTACGCTTCTTCAAATGATGCGGACTGTAGCCACCTGTTGAATTACACAACTTATGCCTGTCGATGTAGCTGTTCCTATTATGTTGCATGTTCCCTTCCCGGTAGTCACTTTGCTCCTCAGGTGCCTACGCCTCTCTAAACCTAATTGCATGTATTACCCAGCTTCTACAATCCACACTAGGCCAGTATGGTATGTAACCCCTCAAGGTGGGACGAATCTTCATATCCTTTAAGATGTAGGCATCTCACCGGCATATTGGAAATGGAACGTCTAGTGTATTGAGGCGAGCTGAACCCAGACTGCACGATGAGGTCCCTCGGACTCAGCAACAGTGAGTAAATAAAATAAAGATGAATAACTACTCCACCCCAGACATCACATCGACTGATCAAACAGCCCAGGCTCAAACCAAAAGACCTGCCCGTCTCTTGTCCCCTCCAACAATATTCTCTCCCAACTTTACCACAAGTACGAAAACACCTGAAAACATCCAACCGACAGTGACCCCCCTCCACTCAACACCATCCACACTCTCCTTCTCGCTCTTCTTTCCCCACTTTCACCACCGCCATCTCCCAGATTGCAACACATCTTCCATCAACACAGCCATAACCCTCCAAGCCGGTACCACCTGTCGACCGCGCACAAACGGGAGCGCATCGATCGGCTGGACACTCGACATTCCTTGTGCCGCCGTCATTTTCTACAATGAGACCGGGTGCGCGAATACGAATGTGTAGCAAGGGGTGGTTGCTGGACGGGCGGGTGAGCTAATTTATGGGGGTGGGTGAGCGTTGGAGGTTTGTTAGTTGGATGGCAAGAGGGAAAGGAGGGAAAGGAGGGAAGGGAGGGAAGGTACTCTCAAGTTACGACTTTCTTGGTTTGGCAACTGCAGTTGAAATTGTTGGGGCCTGCTATGGATCCTCAAATTCACCAAGTCGCGAGTGATACTTGTATGGGAAGGAGCTTCCTGGGGAGAGGAAGAAATAGAGCAAGCCCCAAAGGGATGACGGAGGGCTACGCACAAAAAACCGGTACTGCAATTCAAGACCACAGCCACCACCCCACGTTATTATTTCCGATTGCCTTTCTCAATTCGCTCTTCGCCCAAATCACTCCTTCCCACTCTCTGCAGTGCTCAGCTCCTGAAATGTCCCACTTCCACTTCGCCAGCTGAAATCCGCACCTTTTGAGAAAACCTCAACCTCCCACATCCTTCAAATCCATCTACCCAAATCTCCCAGGTCATCTCATTGAACGTATACCCTTCCAGTCGCTTTCCAAGCCTGAAACTCTTGTAAGCTCGCATTCTTAAACATTCCAAACGAGCCCGTACCCTCAAAGAGCCAACTGCCCGACATAGGCAAACTTGTTCCCAACTTGACTCCTTCGCAGCAATCCAATAATCCAACATCCATGGAACTCAAACAACATCCACTTCATAAGCGCCGCCGCCGTCAAATCTAATCCAGCCCGCCATACGGACACCCAGGGCATCGCTCAGCAGTGTGGTTATTTTCCGGCTCATCCTGACGCTTGCCGTAGACGAGGCCGCCGATGGGGTTGCCCCTTAAGTCGGCAGTATTGACGTTACTGTTCCGGTCTGGGGAGGCGCTATCTTTGGAGCTAGCGGCCGAGGCAGGGGCAGGGGCCGGAGCCGGGATCGCGGTTGTTAAGGAGAGGATGGAGAGGAGGAGGGTGGTGATGGTGAGTTTGAGTTGCATTTTTGATTTTGCTGGTTTTGTGGGTTGGTTGAGTGGTAGGTAGGTAAATGGATGCTTTTGGGTGAAGGTAGGTATGAATATGTACGAGTGCGAGTGTTGCTGACCCAACAAAGAGACTGGCTTGATTGGTTTGATGTTGGGGTTTTAATGTCGATGATGATGAGGTTCACCAGCATGAAAGAGAATATGTTATGGGGCTCTTTATATACTTTTCATCGTCTATCAGGTGGCTGACTATCACCAGGACGCTTTTACACGACAGTGGACGTTCATGTCGCTCGGTCGAGGGGAGGGGATTACTAAGTGACCCTTTGGAAAAGCTGTTCTAGCCCAAGCCTCGTTTTCTTTTGAGGTAGTGGTAATCACCATCGCCATTAGATCTACTTTGTTACGGTAGATTGTGCTGTGTATGGAATGTCAACGTCGCGGCGCTGACTAACTACCTACCATGTGGCTGACACTATCTCCAGGCAACCTCCTTACCGTTTTGGAATTCTCCCCGACCCGTGCGCCACACAATTCAGTAGCTTAAACCACTCTCAAATCTCGCTTTTCTTCTACCTTCTCGGCATGAGAACTACCTCTCATTAATGATCATACATATAGCACATCAATGGGCCCCTTGTATACTGCAACTCCGCAAGCTTCCTGCTGGGCCCTAGCTCAGCCAAGTTGACCTCAAAGTCCAGATCGACCTGCGCACCCTCATAATCGAAGGGAGCAATAGGTCCACCGACCGACATGACATACTCCGGGTTTTGCAGCTGCCAGAGCGTCCAGAGCCGATCGACGTTGGCGTGATGAAGGTAGAAGAGGGGGTCTGTTATTGTCGTTGTCATTGTCAGCATCATTCCAGTCATCATTATCATCCGTCAACCTCCGCAGCAAGCCCAACCTCAACCCGCGATATCAGACCAAAGATAGAAAGGCGAAAAAGAGGACTTACCACCAGGACTATTATAAGCATCCCCCAACGTCCCCAAGACGCCTCCAACACCATAATGTCCACCCCCATGCACATTCGGGTAATCAAAACTCGGCTCGCCCTCCATCCGTCTCGCAAATCCCTCAAAATCCGTCTTCACCATGAGTTCATCCACAACCTCATGCTTCAACAATCCCCTCGCAATCCCCTCCATGAAATCCCTCGTCAAACATTTTGGGTCAGTCCTTTGGGGGTCAGTCTTGTTCAGATTCACCTTGAACCCATTTTCCTGAGTAAACGCTCCCGTTTGCACGCACCCGCCACCAGTGCGGCCAGTGAGGTTAAATGGGTTTTGTTCGGGAGTTAAGGACTCCGAGGGGATGAAGAGGCCGTTTCCGCCGAAGCCGGTCTCAGGAGTGGGAAGGGCGAAGATGGACCATTGGTCCATTTCTAAAGAAGAGTCGATGTCGATGAACCAATCCCAGTAGGGCTGGGCTCCCTTGTAGGAGCAGGAGGAGCGCAGGGTGGTCTCGTAGAGGTGCACCATGTATCGGTGCCAGTGGAGGAAGTGGCCCTTTTGGCATGTCAGTATTTCGAGAGAAAGAAGAAGGCGGAAGGGCAAAAGAAGGGAAGGGGACAACGGAAAACATACTACAAAGTGAATATCAGGCGTCTGCATAGAGTGCACGCCCTGGAAATCGTCGAAGCGGTTCAAGGCGCCGCCGACGCTGGTGGCGATGGAAGGCAGGTTAATGAGACACTTGACGGCGGAGATGTATTTAGTTTGTTCGGTTGCGCTTAGGCTTCTCCATTCTTTGCGGATGATGGGGTTAGGGCAAGCTGCAGGGATGCCGGTAGCATCAGGGACAGGCTTAGACTTGGGGCCGGGATGGAGGCCGGGGCCGGGGTTAACGCCATGAAGATGTCTTCCTGGTCCGCCCGGGGGAGGAAAGGCAGACACGGCCGTGATGAGGAAGAGGGCAGCGGTTGCTGCTGCTGCGATGGTTGATTTGACCATTTTTGAGGATGCGATGGGTGAGAAGGGGTGAGAAGTGAGGAGAGGGAGGTAGGTGGTCAAGGTGAGGCTCCTACCTACCTACAAAGGGTGGGTAGGGATGACATTTATACAGGATTATATACATCCGAATGGCGTAACTCCAAAAGGATCCAGCCTTTTGGTACCCGGCTCTCTTTCATGCAATACTACACAGAAATGCATGCATGGCCAAGGAGACTGCACGTCTTTTTTTCCCCCCATAATCTGCAGATATAGTCGTATGAGGCCACATGGTTTCAGTGGCATCAAAAGCCGGCACGGCTCACGACATGCCGTAAAATCTCACACCGCACTTGTAGAGTCCGCGGGAAGTCGTTCAAGTTGAGTTTAGGGCGTCCTAGGCAACATCCACAATGCGGCTCTAGAGCCTCTAGGACGTTTGAGAATGCTTGCCAAGAGGGTCCTGGAACCCACTAAACTTTGTTCGATCTGGGATCTTTAGCCTTGAAAAAACCCCGACGGGAAAATTGAGTTAGATGGTGCCCTGGTAGAACTGGGTTGTGCGCGGATTCTTACCTCTAGCGAGCATGGGCAGGCACCGCTTTGTGATGAAAGGCTGGTTGGTGATGATAGGAAGCGCGACAGAAACGAAAATTCAAGCAGGAGAATGCAGATCATACCTCTTTGTTTTGACGATATTCCGACTTTTCTTTGTCCAATGCAACGTAGGGGTAACCTATCCGTTGGTATCATTTGTTCTTGGGTAAGGTGTAATCCACAGTTCATAAGGCTGTACCTAGGTAGTGTAGTATCCACACCCTGGAGCCCTTGTACAACACTCTCGAAGGGGTCGCAAAACTAAACCGAAACATGAACATCCAATGGACCTAGTCCACTACGCTTCGCTTTGGCTACAAAAGGCCCTCGCGAAACAGCTATCAGGATCACAAAACATGAGAAATACCACCTTGAACAGAGTCCATCAAGCATATTTCGATACGAAAAAAAGGGCTGAATATTGGGTTGAAAGGCATGAAAAAGACGCTGGGATGGGTAATGTACTTATCGTAACATGTTCGGTTTATTACCACGACCCCTTCGACTCTGAACGCACCATCTATATGCCCATACTGGTCAACAAATTACGCAACATCGTCCTCTTGAGCTTCAAAGAAAGCAACAGGAACTCCATGTCCCGGCGCGCCAACAATCTCAGCCTTGTGGTACTGCGCGTGCCAATCGCCTCTGTACTCAAGGCGGTCATATTTCTGCAGGAGACGCACCACTGTAGGGAAGGTGGATGTTAGACTAGAAACTTTCAACCGGCAAATCACCTCTTGGGAAAAAAGGAAAGGGGAAAAAAAAAGACTCACAAGTAAAAGCCATCTCAGTCATTGCAAAATTCTGCCCCACGCAGATCCTCGGCCCCCCGTTAAACGGCACGTAATTCCACGCTTTCGGCGTCCAGTGATCCCATCGTTCCGGGCTGAATATCCGCGGGTCTTCAAACGGCTGTCCTCCCTTTTCTCCCTTCCCTACGATTTCGCCAGTCTCCGGATAAAGGTCGGGTCGACGATGCATGCTCAATGCCGAGTATACCACGATATCACCTTCCAACACTGCTATGTCTGGTTGTCCTTTGATACCGGGGAGACTGGTGTCTTTGAGTGCTGCGCGCAGGTTGTAGGGAACGGCGGGGTAGAGACGGAGGGTTTCGTTTAGGGTGTGGGTTAGGTACGTCATGCTTTTTAGGTCTTCGTAAGTAGGGGCGCGGGAAGGACCGACGACAGCGAGGATCTCGTTGCGCAACTTGTGATAGACGCGCGGGTAGTGCGAAAGCTCGTAGATGGTCCAAGACAGTGTGGCGGCCGTGGTGTCGCGACCGGCGAGGAGGACGGCCATGAGCTGGTCGCGGATGACCTTGGCATCACGGGTGCGGCGGGCGAGTGAGTGCAGGAAGGTAAAGTCGGAGGATGATTTTGACAAGTCTTCGAGTTCAGAAAATGGAAGGGCGAGGGTGCGTTGGATGAAAGGCTCGATGAAGCGCTCGAGAATGCGGATGCCTCGGTTGTAGCGGTATTTGGGAATCATGTGCCGGAAAGGGGCGAGGATGGTGAGCATCATTTGGATGCGTTGGACTTCTTGGAAGGCGTCGACGAATTCGTGCTTGGGGTTATTCAGGCTGTCGACGCTGTGGCCGAGGAGGAAGTCGGTGGTTACGTCGAGGGTCATGCGGTAGAAGAGGTCCATGATGTCGACGGCTTGACCGGAGGCGGGGAGCTTGTCGATGAGGGTCTTGGTCCATTTGCCGAAGATTTCGAGGTCGCGGACTCGGTCTTTGATGAACATGGGCCTGATCAAGGCCCTGCTTTCGGACCATAGTTGGCCGTCAGTTGTGAAGATGCTGTCACCGAGAAAGGGGCTCCATGTCTCGTGAAATTTAGGGCCTTTGCCGTAGTCTGTGAACTTGGAGGTGAGTACCGTCTTGACGTGTTCAGGCTCCCGGGTCATCAAGAATCTCACGGCTCCGAGGAAAGCGATCTCAACACAGTTCGGACACTCGGGTGTGGCCCAGTAGTAGAGCTCATCGTAGAACTTGTCGAGTTCATCGCGGGCTTGCATGAAGCCAGCCCTCACGAAGAACCGGAGCCCTGTGGCGGTTTGTCACTTGTCAGACACGCCCAAGTTATATCATCCGAAGCAGGTAGCTTTACCTGTGATGGGGTTCGTGGCCAGGACGGAAGACCTGACACCTCCGAATTTGCGGATCTTGTAGTCAACCCAGGCTTTTCTGCCCATGAACAGGACGAGTATGAAGCCCAAGATTGCGAACCATGCTTGGTTGGAGTCAAGGGATAGGAGTGCTTTGAACATGGTGGTTTATAACCTCATTGGGCGGTTAGATCGTGTACAAAAGTGCTCAAACAAACCGAGCTCGAAGAACGATAATGCGGCTTGGGATATTTGGAAGTGTTGATGATGAAGAAGCTGTGTTGGAGAGAGGAGTGTCCAACCGCCTCCAACCATCAAAGAGGGCTTACATCACGTCGTATTAAGTTGTGAGGAATGACCACCACATGCAAATGAAAACCAAGCTCAACCGCGGCTGGGATGAATTGAATACTTGTCCGCAGTGGCAGAGAGGGCAAAAGGCATGGTGATCTTCCTTTTTGAGAAGCTCTGGGGGGTTTGGGGTGTGATATAATGCGGGGGAAGAGGGTGTAACGAGGGGTTGCACCGACTCAAAAAGAGACGTTGACCAATGACAGCATCAAAGTGCTCTTTTCATCTTCACAAACACCAGCATCCCAAGGCTTGCAGTTCAAGAAGTTGAGATAAGGTTTGGTGCGTTTTCATCTCAACTTTCAAGCCACGCAAAGCCAAGAATGAACGCATGAGTCGTGCAACACAACATGGGAGAATAGCTGCGATGAAATTTCCCATGTGATGGAAGATTTGGCGGAACCTTCGGTGCGTCTTAAGCTCCGCTTGACCCCGTATGGGGTCTTGAGGACGGGCCAGCGGGAGGGTCTGGGGACTTTGGGGGTAGAGCTGGAGACATCGTCATTCCCCTTGATAAGTTGCCCCGCAAGGCGCGGAGAGCTCGAGTCAGGTCGGGCATGACAAGCTTCGGGGGTCCATAGGGCGCACTGAGGGTAATTGAAGATGTCAGATTGGAATATCGTGAATGAGATGAAGAAATTGACACGTTTTGCGGATATCTGGGAGTACTTTGCATGTTTTGATGGCTGTCCGTGTTGTCTTTGATGTCGCGGTTCAACATCATGGCCATGATGATTTGGAGAAGCCGATTTTGCGGGCTGGCCGGGATTCCACGGAGTCATGTAGTCTGCTCGAGTCAGTGGACCTGTCAACAAGGTAAATGACAGCAGCATACGCGGGGAGAGCTTGTCATTGAAGTGTGGCAAGCGGGGCTCTTAGACGTCATTGTCAACATTGCAATGTTTATCGCGACCGGTGTAAGTTGGACTTGTTGAATTGATCATGTTTTTGTTTTGTTTGAGCTTGTCTTCCGCTTGTTAATGCAAAAATTCATCCCACCCGAAGCCGCTGAATGGAGACAATGACGGTTTGGCCGAGGATAGGCGCACGAGGCACGGGCCCTGGGTAGCCCGCCACCAGCCGCGCGCAACTGCCGCGAGCTGGCAAGGAGCTGCTGGGTGCTGTTCGCTGGAGCTCTTGCTGTTCCTGTGACTTGCGACGCAGAGCTGTCATCGGCCACCGCCTCGGCACCAGCAATCGGTCTCCAAATACGACACCAAAGTTGTTGGTGATTGGCTCGGGTAGGGCCGACAAGGGTTATCAGGCCCATCAGTCAAGCCCCCCAAAACAGTGAGAACTCGAACTCCAGTCCCCTCGTCGACCTAACAAGAAGAACTTAACCTGGCCAAGTGTCGCATCGTCATTTTCACAGTCCCTGAATTCTAGAAATATTCCCTTTCCCAACATCACCACCACTGTTTGAACCTCGCATTATCCCATAACACCACATCCTACCTAATAATCATGTTCAAGCTCGGCCGCAACCGCGCATTGGCTTCTGCCTTTGCTTCCGCCTCCAAGGTTCGTCTCTTTGAGATTGCATGCACCGTCGCATCGCCTCGAATTAGAAACAAAAACAACAAGCTGACAACATCTCCCAACAAAAACAACAGGCTCCCCTCACCTCCAGACTCCCCAGCGTTTCCCAACAACAAAGGAGAGCCCTCAGCATTCACGAATACCTCTCTGCTGATCTCCTCCGTCAGGTCAGTTAACACCTTGGAAATAGCTTATCTCTACCTCTACCTACCCCGCCCCGTCGCTACCTGACGAAAGAACCGATTCTAACGCGACACGACACAAAACAGTATGGCATCGGTGTTCCCCAGGGTGATGTCGCCAGGAACGGCGCCGAGGCCGAGGCCATCGCAAAGAAGATTGGCGGCGAGGACATGGTCATCAAGGCCCAGGTTCTTGCTGGCGGCCGTGGAAAGGGCTCCTTCGACAACGGCCTCAAGGGCGGTGTTCGCGTCATCTACTCCCCCACCGAGGCCAAGATGTTCGCCGAGCAGATGATCGGTCACAAGCTCATCACCAAGCAGACGGGCGCTCAGGGCCGTCTCTGCAGCTCCGTCTACATCTGCGAGCGCAAGTTCGCCCGCCGCGAGTTCTACCTCGCCGTCCTCATGGACCGTGCTTCTCAGGGCCCCGTCATTGTTTCGTCGTCCCAGGGTGGCATGGACATTGAGGGTGTCGCCAAGGAGAACCCTGACGCCATCCACACCACCTACGTCGACATCAACGTCGGTGTCACGGACGACATGGCCCGCGGCATCGCCCAGAAGCTCGGCTTCAGCGAGCAGTGCGTCGAGGAGGCCAAGGACACCATCCAGAAGCTCTACAAGATCTTCCTCGAGAAGGACGCCACCCAGATCGAGATCAACCCCCTCTCCGAGACCTCTGACCACAAGGTCATGTGCATGGACGCCAAGTTCGGCTTCGATGACAACGCTGACTACAGGCAAAAGGACATCTTCCAGCTCCGCGACACCACCCAGGAGGATCCCGATGAGGTTCGCGCCGCCCAGTCCGGCCTCAACTTCATCAAGCTCGACGGTGACATTGGCTGCCTCGTCAACGGCGCCGGTCTCGCCATGGCTACCATGGACATCATCAAGCTCAACGGCGGCCAGCCCGCCAATTTCCTTGACGTCGGTGGTGGTGCTACCCCCGCGGCCATTAGGGAGGCCTTTGAGCTCATCACCAGCGACCCCAAGGTTACCGCCATCTTTGTCAACATTTTCGGTGGTATCGTCCGCTGCGACGCCATCGCCCACGGTCTCATCAACACGGTCAAGTCTCTTGACCTCAAGATCCCCATCATTGCCCGTCTCCAGGGCACCAACATGGAGGCTGCCCACCAGCTCATCAACGACTCTGGCATGAAGATCTTCTCCATCGACGATCTCCAGAGCGCTGCTGAGAAGTCTGTCCAGCTCTCCAAGGTTGTCAAGATGGGTACGTTTGAATCGCACACTGACCTTTATCAAGTTGCTTGCTAACTGTCTTGTTTCCCCAGCTCGTGACATTGACGTCGGCGTTGAGTTCACCCTTGGTATTTAAAGCGAAATCTCGGTCTTTGGGAATTTTTTCTTAACAGGCGGGTGGTTACGGCTGACAAATGGATATTTTTAGCTTGATTATTAGACTCTCTCAGCGTGGGTGTGTGGCAGGCAGGCATGATGAAGGTTTTCTCTTTTCTTTACGTCTCCTTTTCCGTCCTGTGTACCTAATTATTAGACGATGATGATGCACCAAGCCTTTGTTGTTGTTGTTGGTTTTCTTGGTTGAACTTTGTCTAGTCGACAAAATGTTTCTTGTGGTGTGTGTTGCATGTCGCGGAATAGAAAGGTCGAGCTACATAGCGTTATTGGGATAGGTACCTGGGAAGATGTCCTTACCATACTGATATCATCCATATCTGTGTGCGAAGAGAAAGTTGCGGGGGTGGTGAAGAAGGGATTGTATACCCCTGGGTTGGATGAAGATGTGTTGAGCGGGTGTTTTCATGTAGTCACCGGCGGTCGGAGAAGGAAAAGTTAGCACAATATCGACGCCAGTGCCGTGTCGAAATGCCTTCATCGCGACCAGATCCACCGATGACTGATGCCAAGTGGTTGATCCATCATGCCCAGAAAGTTTAACATGGGCTTTCTTCTCCTGGCTTTCTTACACGTGAGTTCGCGAAGGCTACCGTGAAGTTGTCCCCCACGCATCTCATTTGATGCGTCTTATTGGTCAGCTATTAGTCATCAGTGCGCTTCATTCTCCATGAACTGTGGGTCCTTTGGGAACCATAAGTGGAGGCATCGTGGGCGTCGCGTTCCCCAACGTCCCGTCGGCAGACGACATCCATCAACTCTCCCACTTTTACATCTTCCCTCTCCTTTATTCGTCGCTTCTCCGCTTCTTGCTCACATTTCCATACGAACCAAGTGCAGCACATATTTTCTACCCTTGAACGATGTTCGTATCTGATGATCAGTCGCACCCGCTTCCCTCATACCCACGAAGGAGACTTTTATGTCGACGACGACGAATGTTGATGATGCATGATCGTGGTCGTTTTCTGTCATTCAGAACCACTTAGCACTTGAGATAATACAAAGAACAATATGGAGGAAGTTGTGGTTGACGAGCAAGGCGCAAAGCAGCACTCGAGGCTGATACGGGAGTTTGACCGGACCCGAGTTACTGTGTCATTACTTCGATGTACTTGTAGCTCAATCTGCAAGGTACGCAGCTCCCCATTGTTTGCGTGTTTCCTCAGCCTCATGGTAATTGGACTGAGCCACGAGCAGCCCAACCAGGATCAGATGGCCATATGACGACAATGTTCGAATGTTTGCCTAAGCCGCACCGACTGTCCGAGTCTCAGAACCCCTGTCCCACATGAAGTTTGCCAAACATACCCCACGATCTAGGACATAGCCGTTCCCTTGGAAGCGACATAATGTGCATTGTGGAAATTGATATTGCATGTCAGGGGTCAGGAGCAACATTTGAACATTTAATAACGACAAACAGCCAAACAGACGCCTTCTTCCGCCCGCAGTATACAAGTGGCCGACTGATGTGTGGGGAACATGATGACACTAGGGGAAGAACCACTGTTGGTTCGGAATGTCTTCAGTACCAGTGTCATCTGGCACTACGGGGCGTTGTGCCCGCTTGGGATTGTTGGGAAACATATACCGCCGTGTGAGACATGTTTGAAAGGAAGTTGACAGGTTTGTGCATCGTAAACTCATAGTTCTTTCTGTGTTTCCCTCAGCGTTCTGCTTCCTTGGTCTCTTCGACAATCGAACACTTCGAACCTTGTTTCCACATACTCCTTCCTCAGTCAGTACTGGTGGAGGATCCCAGTTTTCATCCCTCGATACCTGGACGGCGGACTATCAAGATGCGAATCTCATCAGCATATAAGCTCAACAGTCACTTCAGCCTCTTGTCTAAGCGCGCAACATCCGTCCCCGAGCAATGCACCAACTACTGCCGTAAGCCGAATCTCCCTTCTACCTACCAATCTTCATATAGCCAGACGCCACGTTGCTCTCTTCATTGCTATCTTTCATTAAGCTAACACAAGTTGGACAGGCAACGCCCAAACAGAATGTCTACAAAACCCACTCACCCCCGCCCTGTGCGGTACAGTGAGCAACTTCCTCGACCAGTACAACCTCTGCCAGTCCTGCATCGAAGATAACAGCAACAACCCGGAGCTAGTCAAAGCCAGTCTGGTGGTGAGGTTTATCCGGTGTGTTGGGTATTGCAAGTTACAAGGAAGCAATACGCCTCAAACGGGAACCCCGGCTACAGGACAAGATGGAAATCCGCTTACGACAGCGATTGCGTCAGCGAAGGTTTCGAGCACTTCCTCCAGCTCTGCTGCACAAGCGACGGTATTGACGAGTGCGAGTGTGGATAAGGGGCAGAAAACGATGATCACATCCACACAACCTAAAACGACAAAGTCAACATCACAACCACCAGCGAACGGCGGCTTAACATCGGCTATAACTTCAACTTCTACGCCGCCATCTCGATATACAGGTACCCTACAAGTACCCCCTTCTTCCTCACCATTATCCGAATTCGCATCAACCTCCGCATTCCCGACCGCTCTCGACACCACGCAAATCCAAATCCACGGCCAAGCCCAAGCGACATCAGCATCACTTACTTCGCCCACTTCCACAGTTGCCACTTCTACACCAAATCCCAACTCAGGTGGAACTAAAACAACCGCTCCCTGGGTATGGGCCATAGCCAGCATAACCATCACCGTCGTCTTCCTGCTCTCGTGCGGCAGCTTTTTCGTGTTTTACAAAAGAGGAAGATCGAAACGGGGAAGGGCAGGACAGAGGGGGATGAAGGGCATGGTGGAGTTGAAGGATACGATGGCTGTGGATGCAGGGGGGTTTGTGGATAGTAGAGGTACTAGGTCAAGGTCGAGGTCGAGGTCGATGACAAAGGGGAGACAGGGTGCTCAAAGGACACAGGGTATCACAGGAAGGGCGGAACTGGGAATTAAAGAGGTGGCGGAGTTGGACACCTCTACGGTGCATGTGAGGGAGGTGTATGACGTTGGGGCGGGTCAAGGGGCAGGACGTGCTGGTGGAGGAGGAGGACAAGAAGGGAGAGGAAGGCCGGTCGGTAAGGTGGGAGAAACGTTACATGTACTGCCTGTTGAATTGTCCAGTGTCTCGGTTTGCGTGGAGTTGCCTACTTCTTTTAATATGGGAGAGGGGGAAGGGAAAGCAGCAAGTCGAGTCGAGAAGACGTAGGGTGAATAAAGAGCGCCCCCTTTTCTTCTATCTTCGGAATCCAACTGGTCCGGCGGCGGCCCGGCATCATTGAACTCGGTAGGCAGCTCGACTGGCTTCGGACCATTGCTAGAGGTAGACATCTCAACCGGTTTCTCTTCTGACTCGAGCTCTTTCGGTTCGACCGTCGTCCAAGCATCCAACTCCTTCGGCGGACCCGTACAACCACCCACAATATTGCTCTCTTCATGGAGCTCCGGCTTGTCTCCAGTCCTCCAAGTGGTATCTCCATCGAGCTCTTGCGCTGACGATGCCAGGCCCAACTTCCACTTGACAGACCGGAATTTTCCTTTCTTGTAGAGAAAGACGACGATGCCAAGGCCAATGAGTACCAACGCTATGGCTGTGCCGATGATGGCCCAGACCCATGGACTAGGGCCATTCATTGTTGTCGGTGCAGGCGGAGCGGAAGCGGGTTGTTGTCCAGGTGTCGAGCTCGAGCTGGCGGTCGCGATGGATGGGATTGAAACGGTTCTGTTTGCTTGGCTCGATAAACTCGCTACGATGGGTGAAAAGATAAAGTTAGTCGGACCTGCCAGTTATGCACCGAGAACGGGCTGCGGCGGAGGAATTGCACTTATAAAAGTACCGTCCCGCCGGAAGATGGTGCCGTACCTGTTGTTGTTATAGTTGGCTCGAAATCTGAACGAAGAACCGAGGTGCGAAGTAGTTTGGTGACGGTCATCTGGACATCCATATTGCTGCCTGTCCACTACATGGCTGTCACCCATGCCGTCGTTGAAGTGTACCATGACGGTTCGATGGTTACCCCTATGTGGTTTAGTGCGTCACAGTACGATAAAAACTGGGAAAAACTGGGGTCCAGATAACTGTCGACGACTGCTTGGGGATCCTTGCTGTCAGCCAAGATGTAGGACTTGCAAGCACCATAATTGCGCTTGAAGGAATAAGAGCCGTCATCCTCACACAGCGGGGTGGTTATCCCAAGCAGCTGGGCCTCATGTAACGCATCGTCTGCATGTGGTCCATTCAGTATCAGGTATAACAAGCGGTGAACGGAACGACTGAGAAGCTAGGACATACCACAATAGAAACGGCAATCGGCGGGGACCACGGGATCGTCCCTTACTGCTATACCCAGTCGGTTCTAGGCGTGACGAAGGTTGTTTAACCGCATTGTTGACTTGAGAAAGAGTTTGAGATGACCTGTGAAGGATGAAAATGAAAAGTGAACAGCGACCAAGATGCTCGTTGAAGAAAGAGGAAGTGAAAGAGCGAGGACCTAACGACAACAGAAGGGATCGAGTGCGGTGGAACGGGGTCTGACTTCATTGGATGTTGGTAAGAGGTGGTGTAACTGGCAGCCTTCTTAATGAATAATATAAATGAAGCCGATGCAACAATTTGGGTTTATTGGCGTCAGCACTCCGCCACCGGGAACTCTGCGTTGGTCGGGTCTGGACTACCTCCAATCGCCCCCAAGATTTTATCTTTCAGCTACCGATCGAACATATGATGAGCGACCTGGGAGAAGGACAGTTCCCGTTCAAGCATGTAGGTAAATAGAGAGACGGGTAATGGAACAGAAGCAGATAGCGGAAGATCTGGGACCTGTCTGAGGTTTTTGTCTCCCGTTAACCTGAGGGGATAGCAAGGTTGCAACCTCAAAGAGAAAAAGTCCGCCATTTCGTCATCTATACGCCCAGAGGTTAGGTTTCTGGTGCGTCTGCGTCTTCGTGCGTTGCGCGGCCGCGAGACTGGTTTGAGATATGTCGAGAGTTCTGAGATCTGGAAAAACCGTTGAGTGTCCTTCGAGCCCTCTGCTGAGGATCGCGGTAGTGTCCCCGACAACAGCCGTCGCCAACATAGCACCGGCGGGCTCAACGAAGGTGGCGTAAGCGAAGTGATTGTGATAGAAACCCATATCCCTGAAATTGAGTACTTAAGTGAAGTAAAAATGCAATGAACAAATCTAGAATCTCAAGCATGTAATAAGCTGATGTGTTCTCGTTAGCTGTTTGCGCTTGCAGATGGAGACAATTTCATTTATCGACAACCCACTCACATCAACTCAGCCACCCATCATTTTCAGGCCCAGTGACTGCTCGTCTCCTTCTCGTTCTCAGCAATCTTTCCGTCTCGTTTGCTGTTTGTATGCCGGAAAGGTTCTAGTTGCCGTGTCGTCAATCCAACCCAGTCACGACGATGACCCGAGGTCACCGACTCCCAGGTTCATAAGACCTCTGCTAGAGAATCCGGATGGTTTCTTCAACAGCACCTATTTTGAAGACGCTTGGACGGTGGTCCCATAGATTGGGATACTCGGTTTCGACGTCGATCCGGGTGGTTTTTGCTGGACCACCAAAGTCCCGTATATCCCGGGTCTCCATGGCCAACCCTATGCGGACGTAATCTGTTGAAGAGGGTATTCTTTCCAAAATGAGTGCGTACTCGACATGATCAGTATGCTTGTGAAAGTTATCACACGTTAACATCCTTTCTCTCGTGATTGCGTAGTCGGTACCTTTGCGGCCACTACGTGTGATAGTTACCACGTGTTAACCGGAGGCACTTGATCTGCTGTTCAGCGCCACTGGTAGCCATACGGGTACGTAGCTCGCTAAGCGGATCGTACAAGCAGCCCGATATTGATTGGTGAGCAGGGGCATCCAGCACTTGCTTTGACAGACACATTAACCCGATACGATAGATGGTGAGTCGTGTCATCAAAGATGTATGAAAACCTCGTGGATGAAAAGCAGCAAAATGCATCAGTCAATTGTCCCGAAACAGTCATGGACGCGGCTGAGAGTTTTCCAGTAGGATCAGCAGTGGCCGGAATAATCGATAAGCCGTGCAAAGTGAATAGTCGTGGAATTGGTTGCGGTGAGTGGTCGACGAAGGTCGATCGAGGGTATTTTATGGTACCATTCCACACAGCCCATGACCAGCTAGGCGCTCTCCAAGGTTTGGCTTTTGTAGCAAACGGGGCGACCCAGAGTAGATCTGTTGTTAGTAAGTCGCTCCAAAGACCTGCAAAATAACGAGCTCCAGGTCTGTGCTTTGCCATATGCTGAGCAAGGCCAGAGATTGCGGGAAACTTATCAGAAGGAACGGAAAGGGCTGAGAGGGAATAACTAGTGACGAGCCTTCATAGCTTGGCTTTTGTTACGAGTAAATCGGAGTCGACTGGGCTGTGAAGCCTGGTTTTATCGACGAACTGTCTTTCAAGCTGTCTTCCAGGGAACTCAGCCAGAAACCCCCCGTTGCATTCCAACGCCACACTAGCTGGCAGGAAGTGGACTATCCTGGGAGACAACATCCGCTCTTGGAAACATCAAGCTCTGTGGAAAAGCAGTGTATCTGCTCTGAAACGCGGTTCCTGGTGGATTGCAACAAGCGATATGTTGACGGGTGATCTGTTAACTGCGAAGCCGGTGATTTTGAAGAGCTCTCGGTTACTCCAGTATTTGAGCCCTCCCTGGCAATCCCGTGATAATGTTACAGCAATTTTAAGACGAGAGTTCCCATAGATGTTGCACATATTGGCCGACTCTCGATCCCAATCCTCGGCATTGTCTTGTATGATGCAAAGCGAATCGATCCAAAGATACCGGACACCCAAGTCCCGAGTCAACTGAATTGCATCTTGGAAGGTTTTCGGTATAGTGTCCCATGCAATAGAAGCCAGATGTTGTGAGTAGTTCTGCTGGGTCGTTTTAAGCGGCTGTTGCGTGCCCCAGCAATGACTTAGGCAGTTGTACCTTTGAATAGTTGTCTGCAGAAGCCTTGTCTCGACAAGATGAACTTCACCCGACGTTGATCTCACGTCTAGAAGTCGGCTAGGGAGAGGCGCTGCATTCGAAATGCAACACGACTTCTCATGCTGCTTGGCACAGTTGTCTAGGCCCCTGGATAGTCTTGTGACGAGATCGGATTTGAGTTCTTGTTTACAGGCCGTGGTGGGATTTGTGGCTTCAAGCGACTCGTCTTCCCATCCAAAATACCGTCTGTATGTACTAGAGAATGGCTCGGTTATTTTCCATGGACGGGGTGTATCATCCGTACCTAGAATTACCCTTGGTGTTAGCAAGTTGTTTCTCTGCACGATCTCAGCATGGTGTCATGAACATTACCTGTTATGAGGAGGCCACTACATCTCTTCGAAGAGTCCGTCGGAATGACAAGACTAAGTTCAAGTGGAAGCCTCCGCTCGCCAAACTCTGCAAGAGATGCGGCGAGCGTAGAATGAGCAGCTTCGGGACTATTGCGAAGAAATATCTTATATCCCACAAATAGAACCCGACAGAGTCCGCATGTCCCAGGCTGTAACTGCTGTATCGTACGCCGCATTGGACGGCCAAAGGTCGAATCCGGGTAGTCTCGGATTTCTGTACAGTGCTGGCACAGGGAGTCGGAGAGAGGACTGGTTATTACTTCCAGAGGATCACCGGAGTCGGATGGCTTCTACCAAGGACTCAAGGAATCTGCCGAGAGTGTTCCATCGGGCCATTCGCCGCCAGCGATAAAGCCTCGACATTTGAGTTCGCTTGTGTCGGCCGAGGGGTTCTCGGGCGAGTCATCCATGGTCTTTGAGGGGACTAAAAGGCCCTGCAATCTGTAAACAATAAGCACGTCAGCAAATTGGAAAAAAAGGGTTGGTCAGCTTACCTTCTCTATCGTATCAATACGGGGCTTCTTTTGAGGTCATCTTGCGAGCCTCGACTCGTGGTAGGTAGTGGTTCAATTCTTGCGGTTTCTCGCAGTCGCCCGTCGGCATGTCGTTCCCACAGCGGGGTAATCCTGTTAGACGTCTCGGCTTGTAATGATCCTGCCCCCCTGTATTCGATTAACTCCGGAGCCACACCCGACCCCACCGAACATCTTTCCAAGGGTCTAACCCACTTCCATTTCTCTTTTCCCATATGACGGGAACCCTTCTTTCATTGTTGTACCCTCGCGTTATCCGCATTAGTTTTAGCAGGTTATATTCAGTTGTGTCCATATAGTCCGTACCTCTACCGACAATGCCGAGCTCCCTCCTTCTCTCTGCCTCAGCTCCCCATGACCATCCGGCAATGACTCAGACGAGACGGAGCGGGCCGGGGGCGGGCCGGAGCGAGAATGGATACGGCCGCCGATGGGGTCGCCGGTTCATCTTGGCCTTCTTATTCTTCAATCGTGAATTCACACATTTCACTTCCTGGCAACTCGACCATCTGGCGTACCCAAGTTGCTCTTGTGCCACCTTGGACTTGGTAATTTGCACTTCCATATTCGTTGCTGGCAAAGAACAAAGCCGTATCCTTCTGCCTTCAAATCCCACGGCAGATATAACCCAGCCAGATCCCTCACTTCGCCCCATACTTCTCAAAGATTTCCCTCTCGAAATCCTTGATCAAGGGTTCAATCAGCGGATCAGCCGGGTCCAGAGTCTGCGCCCCAAACACTCCACAAACACCTGCCTCTCGATCGACAAACTGTTGTTCACACACACATGAACGTTAGCAATGTTTCCTCAACCGTTTTCTCACATGCAAAAAGAACTTTAGACTTACCCAATTCAAGTTAAAGATCCCTCCTCCCCATCCAAGGTAGCCCCTCCTCCTCCACCTCCCCTCGTCACCTTTCTTCCCGGGCTCATCAACCAACAACCCGCCCGCACTCCAATCATATACCAACCCCTTCCCCTCCGCCGGCTCCTCAACATAGCCAACCACCCACTGCGGCGTCTTCATATTCTCATTTAGTGCCGTCTTCGCTTTCTCCTCTTTCAGTTGTCCCTTAAATAACAACCTCGCCGTCTCCTTGGTGAGTAACCGTTCATCATCAACCAACAATGAATACACCACCTCACAATAAGCGCTCAAATCCGCAAACCCGCCTTGTCCGCCAAAGGCACCGCGATCAGCGGGTTTGAGAAGCTGGGGTGTGTCGATGTGTCGAGTCCTTGAGTGGCCCCCTCCTTCTCCTTCACTACCTTGGGCCTGTTCACCAGCAACAGCTAAATCATTATCCACTCTCTTCCCCATATCCGCCACTCTCTCCCTCTTTTCCTGTTCCTCAGAAGGCCACACCCTCTCAGGATAAAACCCCAAACTTCCCTTTTCCAGTCCCAATTTCTTGACTACAGATTCCTGCATCCACTCATCCAACGTCTTCCCCGTAACCTTCTCCAAAAACCACCCAACCCAATCAATCCCGCAACCGTACGCCCATCCCTCCCCGGGTTCGAAGAGTAAAGGCCAAGAAAACTGCTCGGGAACAGTTTGCGCGAAGGCCGTGCCGAGCGGTAGGTGTGGTTTCTTGTTTTCTTGCGCTAACTTCCACTCTTGCCAGGCCGTCAGGGGAGGTTGGAGGAAGGTGTAGCCGCATCCGGAAGAATGAGTCAAAAGATGGCGGACGGTGATGTGCTTAGACCTGGTTCTAGTAGCGAAGGGGTCTGAGACGGTGGGGGACAAGATGGGGAGGGAGGCGAGGTCGGGGAGGTAAGTTTCTGGATAGGAGTCGGGGTCGGTGACGGGGGTGTCGAGGCCTAGTGGGAATTGAGACTTGTAGGGGGAGGAAGAGTCGAGGAGTTGCAGGATGCAGATGGAGGTTAGGAGTTTGGTCATGGAGGCTAGGGCGAGGATTGTGTGAGGGGTCATGGGGCGCGGGTGCGTGGGGGAGAGGGAGGCGTAGCCGGTTGCGTGGGAGTAGTTGAGGGTTCCTGATGATGGGGTTAGCGAGGTGCTGTGAGGTTGATTTGGGTGATGGTGGGGGAAGGGAGATGGAAAGGAAGGGAGGAAAAGACGGACCATCTTTGTTACGAGCGTAGAGGACTACGCCGGGGACGATGCCGTCGTTGACAGCCTTTTGGATGATGGTTTCGAAAGTGTAGGTTGGTGGTGCCATGGTGAGTAAGTGATTTGCTCTGGGAGATCCTTGTTTATGTGTAGTAGTAGTAGTAGTTGTTGTTGTTGTTGTTGTTGTTGTTGTTGTTGTTGTTGTTGTTGTTGTCAAGACGAAGTTGTGTTGGTAGGTACACTTCACTAATATAAGGTAGTTGTCAGTAACTTGTTGAACAAGAAAGAAAGAGCCAAATATGAAGAGAAGCTCAAAGACGGGAGAGGACCAGATGGATTTATAATAGCTTCCAATCAATCCCCTTGAGTGTCCCGTGTCAAAGGTGAACAACACATCCATCCAAGCTAGTTAACAACCGAATGTTACCCCCCCCTCACGATCTCCGCTTAGACTTAAGACAGCTTACAAACGCTCCCTCCCTCTAGGAACCCACCGTTAGATCAGTTGGTAAGAAATAAACAATCCCGTCCCTGTAACCCATCATCTATCTGCCTCAGTACCCATAGCTATACTTGTAAGACGGCACTTTTGCTATAAACCAAAATGGCAGTTACACACCTTGATGAAGATGATGTTGAATTCATGGTTTCCGGATGCCTCTGAGGAATGACGAGTGTGTGTCGGTGGACGATGATCTCCAAAATGAGGGGTCGTTGGACCCCAAGCCTGCCGGTATGCATGCATGTCTCGTGCACTTTCCGGGTCCCGCCCGGCGGCTGAGAGCTGCGGTGCAGGGGAAAGTACCGTAGCTGTTCCTCTCGGCAGAACGTCGGGAGGGGAATTCAGCTCCAGGTGGCCGCCCCTGAGGTGGTACTGTGTAGGGAAGCACTTCGTTGTTAAAGTATTGTGTCTACCAACTTGGAGCAAAACACGTTTCCTTGAGTTGAGTAATTCGCCCAGTTGTCTGGAAGGCGGGGGCATCTGGAGTTCAAGACGGAGGCACAGAGATGCCATCATGATCCCCTAAATAAAGGTGTGGGTGCTGGGTTTGTGTCTCCAGACGGGACATACATACATGTCTCTCAGGCAAAGTCTGGAGGCGCTTCCCAGCTTTAACGAGCAACGCAATTCACCAAGTCCAAAAAAGCGACACCAAAGTACCTTTGGGTACCTAAACTTGTTCAATTGGTAAACTGTAACAAAAGTCGAACATGATTGTTAAACCAAAAAACGGGGGTATAAGATTTCCGTGCCTCTCTTCTGACGCTGTCTCTCCCCTATGCTTCTCCTTCTCCTTCTCTCGACAACCCATTCTCTAGCAAGCCCGTAGACAAATAACATGTACAGGAACAGACGTATTGGCATTTCCAACAGCTCCCTTAGACAACATGTCTTCCCCCGCACTTGTAGGCAGACATCACCACGCATTCAAGTCTCGGTAAACTGACTCTCTTCAAGCAGTCGCACCGGACTCCTTAGCGGGTTCAGCCTTCTCCTTGCCCTCCTCTTCAGCCTTCTCCTTGCCCTCCTCTTCAGCCTCATCCACATCCGGCTTCACCTCACTCTTACGATTCTCCTTATTCTTCCCCTTCACTTCCTCATCATCCTCTTCCTTTCCATCTTCAGACCCCTTAGCAGAGGCACTTCCCTCCTCGTCACCCTCTTCCCCACTCTCCTCCTCCTCTTCATCATCATCCTCATCTTCCTCTTCATCGTCATCCTCCTCATCATCATCCTCACCATCCTCCGCAACCATTCCATTCATGCGCTCCCAAACCTCGCGTCTGATCCTATCATCCTTGGCCTTGCGCGCCCTCTCCACCTCCTCGACACCACCGCTCTTCTTCAACTTCCCCTCCTCCACAAAGGATGCCAGCTCCTTTGTGAGCGGGTTAACCATCCTGGTCTGCAACTCCTTCTGCCTCAACTTCTCCGCCCGCTCAATCGCCTCCAATCTGCTCTCGTGATTCGGCTGCAAGGCACGCACCTCGCCCAAAATGCCCTCCTTCGCTTCGCTGGGGTCCGCAGACGTTGACCTCTCCGAAATGCTCTTCAGCCCGCGACTAAAGGCGCCAAAGGGCGTGGGACCGTTGGATACCGATCCGTTGACGGTGTTGCCCTGTCCGCCCTCCTTCATCTGCTCCTTGGTTGCCTGTTCCACAAGCGCAAACGTCTCGCTGGCCTTCTCCAAATCGTCGCGCAAGTCGACCATGAGATCTTCCATGAGGCGCAGCTCGTCGCGGCCTTGGCAGACGTCCTCGAGCTCTTTCTCCCAGATCTTGGTCCAGATGGGCTTCTCCTTCTTCATATACTCCTCCATCTTCTTGAGCTCCTTGGTGAGCGTCGTGATGTCCTTGGTGACGGCCTCGAGCGTTCTCGGGAGCGGGCGGACGCCGCGGTGGACGACGTCCTTGCGGAGGTCCTCGACGAGATCTTGCAGGTCGTCCACCTTGTTGACAAGCCGGTCACTATCGGCGTTGAGCACTTTACGACCCTTGGTGACGTACGCGCGGCCCGAGTCGCCATCCCCGTCAGGAACGGACAACTTGGCGGCGGCGGTCTTGACGTTGTTGGCCTTGTTGCGGAGAGCAGTCATGGAGCCTTGGACTTCGGACTGGAAGTTGGAGTAGGTCTGGCGAAGGACGGCGAGGTCGCGACGGAGGGATTGGATCTCGGTAAGCTGGCCTGGGTTGAGCTTCTTGGACGAATTGGCGATGGCAGCAGCGCCGGCGACGGAGGAAGACGAAGAGCGTGGCGAGACCGTCGAGTCCATACCACTTGGTGCCATGATGGTGGTGGGCGGGGCGGCTGCAATGCGAGCGAGATCCTTGGCAGTTTCCTGCTGGCGCTCCGACACGCACTGGATGGCGGCGTTTTGATCGTCGACATTCTGCTTAACCTCCTGGATGATAGTTTTGAGGGACCCAATGCCTTCGTCAATATGTTTCTTGACTTCATCCAAAGCTTCTACGTTCAACACAAGTACTGTGCGGTCCTTGATATCAGAAAAATCCTCGAGCTCATGGCGGACACCGGAGACGGGATCTTGAATGTAAATTTCGGGTAGATCAGCTCCATTCTGTTGTGTGTTCCACGAGAACTTTTCGATAAAGGCAAGCTGAAGACGAGCAATGGACAGATCGTCGTAGCCTTCTGGGAGGACGAACTTCTTGACCTTGGACTTGTACTGTAGGAAGAGGGTCAGTTCCTTAGTTGCAGGGGGCGAATTCTCGAGCATGAACGAGCTGGGAGGTTGTTTATCCGGAGTTGGAGCGCGGACGGAGGGCTTTTGTTGATGCTGAGGAGCGGCAGGCGCAGGAGCAGGCCTCGTAGCAGCCGGCTTAGGCGAGTCTACCTCATCCACCATCGGGATAGGATCCGTGAGCGGGCCATTGAGAGTGGCGCTGGGAGCTAGATACTTGTCATCTGGTGTCTGGACATTGAAGCTATCGGCCCTATTATATGCAGGCGAATCGGTAACAGACTCTTCAGACACCCGGCTGGGAACCCGGACAGGAGAGGAATCGAGGCCAATGGTACGTTGGGACTGGTTCGAAGCGTTGCGGTTGTGACGGGTGCTCTCTCTTTTCTGCATTGCCCACATCGGCTCTTTAAAATCGCCCAGGCTCCTATTAGGTATCGGCGTGTTCTGGGGCATAGGCATCATAGGGATCCCACCCTGGGCCCCGAGGTGCTTGGAAATCTGGTATGCCGAATATCTGCGGGAAGCTCGTCTTTCCAGTTCCGGTCCTCGTTGTAGGGCCGCTAAGGCGGTGCTCTGATGCGACTGCTTCGGCGGCGGCGGAGGAGGAGGGAAGTTATCCACGTTGATTTCCGGGGTGCCGGTGGACCTGTAGGAATTGTATCTTCACCTGGATAAGGCGGCATAACAGGTATGTTTTGCATCGTGTTGCTCGACAGGCTGGACTGGTCCGAGGTGACAGAGCCGCGAGATTGATCACGTTGTGTAGGAAAGCGCCTCGTGGGTGATGCCGTCGTGGGACCAGAGTTCCGAGAATCATCCCTTAGAGAGTCTGGTCGGTAACCATTGCTCTCGAGTCCTTCGTTCAGCATGTTGGTGAGTCCAGAATTAACACTACCCATGGTACTAGTACTTGTAGTTCTGGTAGGCACACCACTGCCGCTGGGGCCAGGTCCGCGACTTGGACCGTGGCCCCCATCGTCGCCTCCTGCGATGCTCGGCTCTCTATCTCTGGTCTGGCGCTGCCTTAGCCTTTGTTGTTTTCTCTTTAGACCATGCAGCAGATTTATGATAATATCACGTATCCTCGGCAGGTATTTCTCAAGACTTTCAGCGCTGGCTTCTTGGCTGAGGGTGGCTTCCAGGATGGTGCGCAACAGCTCCGGCACGTTGCCCAAGTCGTCGATATCGACATTGATGGCAGTAAAGGCTCGGCATGCCATATTAAACTCGTAGCCCAGCCGTACATAGACGTCGGAGACCTGAGTGTCGGTTGCGTTTCCACGGGACCATTGTGTCAGGGTTTCGAGCAGTTGCTTGGTGGCAACAAGTAGATGTGTTACGCTCCTTTCGATTTGCGACAGCGGGACGGACGACGAACTGCCGGATGACTGTTGTAAGAGAGAGCATGGTTAGCAACAAGCCGGTGATGTAGGGCAAGCCGGTGATGTAGGGCAAGACGGGAGAAGGGGGGTTTGGAATGGAAGGGACAGGCGGGGTCATGGAAGCGGTGCTTGCGCCAGGGACAAAGCTGAAGAAGGAAACGCGCAGGGGGGAACAGGTGCTTGCGATGGTCGCAATGATGATGTCGCGACATGGGATCGTAACGCACGCTTGTAGATGGGGAACTCGGGGTTGGTACAGTAAATGAAGCCAAGGCGGGAAGATGACTACTCACATTATTTCGCCTTGTGCTCCCGCCGCCGCCGGGGCCGCCGCCAGGGCCTTGAACTGAGCGATTTGAGCCAGCCGAGGACCTCGACATGCCAGCTTGGGCACCCATGTGTCCTCCCATTCCAACGGCAGGAGATATCGAGCGGGCCGGGATGTTGGGAGGCGGGCCACCACCACCACCGCCGCCGGCGGGTTCGGTGCCCGGGGCGGGGGAACGTCGCTGCATAGGGCGACCGGAACCCGGGACGTTCATCATTTCCTTTGGTGTCTTGCTGTCCGATGGAGGCGATTACCGTCGTGTGTCGCGAGAGGAGGATCAGTTGAGTATGGCTGGTGTCGTCGGGTCGGTCCCTCTACCAGAAGAGGTTGGGCAGTGATGGGAGATTCGACGGCGCGTAGATGTCGGGAGCTACCTCTAGGTAAAGACCGGGGGGCGTTTGGCGACAGGGTCTTGATTGCTCGGTAACTCTCTCTTCTCTGTAAAAGGGCGAGTGGATTGTTTGACGGAGGAGAGGAAGAAGCTCTTCAGATGGTGGCGACGACGATGTTGTTGGCCGTCTCAATCAAAGCGGCGCATTCGGGTAAGGTATGGTAATGGTGGCGGGCGGGTTATGGGCGTCTCTAGAATAGAAAGAAGCTTTTCGGTTTTTGAGAATGCGTTTGTTGATGGACAAATGGAACCGCGTGAGCATGTCCCGTCGGTGGACGGTGGTGTCGGGTGCAGTGTTTGGTGCTGGAGGTGGTGCCTGCTTTGGACAGTGGCCGCCGTCGTCGGGGAATTGCAGTGGATTGGAACTTGGATCGCCAAATGGAAGCAAAAGTGGAGGCGGGTCATGACAGCGGCTCCAGCTGGGCTGCCAGCCGCTGCAATGGGCTCTTTTCTTGTTTTGCATTTGGTCATCACTGATGGTTTGCTCAGATCTTACTAACACATTGGTGCGTGCTTTTAGTATTGTTGCTATTAGTGATGACTGGGCACGGTAACAGCACATGACAGCCGCTTAGTCCAGAAGAGTGCCTGAAAGTGAGCACATGGCAAGAACAGGAGGATCCTGAGGGGTAGCCGTGCACCGTGACAGGGGCAGGAGGGGTCGATAACATGGTGTGCGCTACAATATATTCATGTTGGCCTCGTTCTTAACAGTCACTCCTGGATTTCTCAATCGTAAGAAAGGCAATACAAACATGCGTAAGAGTATAGCAGATCTCAGACACTTCAATTTGAGCTCACACCCTTTTGTGACCGTGATGCAGAAACCTCTGTTCTGAGCTTGGGTGTGCTCTCGCGTGTCAACCACAGCTGTGATTATAGTGTAGCCCATGTGATCAAACGAGGCGCAACACGGCCCTCCTCCCACGCTTCTCTCTGAACACAGGGGCACCCTCGTGTTTCGATGTTCTGTTCAACCGCTAAAACGTTGATCACCACCCATCGAAACATCTCAGCCATTTTAGACCAAAGATGTTGATCACCGTGGTATTACAAGCTGTCACACCACTCCATGTCACCAAGTATCGTCAACTGCTTTTTCTGTAGCACGTCATTGGCGTCGCATCCATTGCCGTCTATTTGAAACACTAGCAGCTGAACCAGGGAATGGGAAGAGGTCACACAGCGGACGAGACCGTGACGTGCAGAGTCCGGCAACTGCCGACCATCTCAGTTACAAACCTCAGCCCGAATCCATCTCAGCTCATCTGCTCCTTTCCCGGGCATCGTCATAATTGTCGTCAACCAACCGAGTGGAAATTACCTTGGAGTTCTTGGCGGTCTTTGGGGAACGAAGGCGCAAGGCACCGGGCAGAGTTCAGTTTGGTCCAAGCCCAGGCAGCCTTGAAATGCGTGTTTCCAAGTGCTCTCCAGCTCCAGGCTTCCGTTTTTAGTGTCGTCTACACCGACGGCTCTATGATAGCTAAGCAGATGGGCCTCCCAGCGCACGCGGAGGACCCCGACGCCGAAGAAAGACCAGAGGGCGAGTGCGTAGGCTTTGGCTACGTAAGCTTCCAAGGACAGACAGAACTCGGCCGCGGATGCGGTCAGTTAGAACAAGCGGAAGTTTTCGACGCGGAGGCGGAAGGCGCGCGGCATGGTGTCAAGGCCACTGTGGCGCTCTTCCCGGAGGCACAGGCCCGACCACGCATTACGATATGCCTTGATAACACGTCCGTCATTAGAGGACTCCGAGGAACCCCAGCTGCGTCGTCACAAGCGGCTTTCCTCGATTTCCGCGCCATCCGTAAGGGCTATGGCCCCAGTCTGGTGAACGTCCGCTGGGTTCCCGGCCACAAGGGCATCACGGGCAACGAGATTGTAGACGAGCTCGCTAAGGCGGGCGCCCAAGGAGGAGAGGTAGTCAATGAAGGCTTGGCTACCCTTGCGCATTCAAGGCGGCTTGCTAAGAGGGCGGCGCGTACGGATTTCAAGGCATGGTGGGCCGTGAACAAGCCAGAGTCTTATGCAGAATACCGGTTGGGGGTCTCTATCAAGCCTAATTTTATCTTTTCCTTTGTGCTACAGGTTCCGTCATATACTGGCGGCTCGCTCACTGGGCGATTCGATTATACGTGTTGGGCCGCGTCTACGCTATTGTGACGAACCGTTACAAGCACAGGAGTATTATCGCTGGGATAGAACAATAGAGTAACGGAGTAGTAACCGAAAGGTACTGGTAGATGTGATAACTATTGCTTGCTGAGGAGCCCTATATAAGAGGTCTGGGAGACTTCTTTATACAAGGGTCCTCTATGGTGCGCCGCTGCGCCGCTGCCGCGGCGCCGGTACTACGGCGCCTTCCTTATTGGTCTATGTAGCTAATTACATAAGTGATCCCTTATTGGATCGTAACATATATGTGTATTGGAATCCCTTGGTCATCTTTGTGAGATGGATGTAAAGTCTGTTACGGAAATGCTAATAATAATGGACGTAAAACTAGTAGATCCTAAGACTTCCTCGTGTACCTCCAATCATTCTCACGTGTACTTTAGTAAATATACCTCCGGAGCCTTTTTTTAGGTTGGCTAACCCGGTAATTTGTTCTGGAACATGGGTATTGTGGGCTTGGGTTGGCAGACTAAAGGATAGCTGGATTTGGTGTTTTTGCAATGGTTCTACGGCGCCTCTTCGATGGTGATTTCCCTGAGCACCCTCCGACCAGTGAAGTCGCCGGCTATACGGTTGGCGACGGTCCCAACTTTGCTCTGAACATGAGGAGATGTTCAGCGTAATGTATTGTGTCGGGTTACGAAGGTATAGACTAAAGTACCAAATACTACCTGTAATCAGGGACGTACCAATGTCCTTCGGGCGATCTTTGGGGAGGGGGTATACTTGGGTCCTCGATGGCTGACAGCAGCCACCATCCCGAAGCAGGTTGAGCCGCCGTTTGGTCGTCTTCCTGCTCAATTACCTGCATGCCCATCGACCCGCCCACAAAAATCGCGTTGCTAGGTACATGCTGGTGCAAAGTGACCGGGACTTTAACTACGCCCGGCGGCACCCTCTTCCGATCAATAACGGGAAACTCGACACCGTCTAGCGTCAAGCGACGATGTCTGGGCGGCAAGATTTTCAAGTGAGAACGGGAACTAGATGGAACAAGGGTAGGAGCTGGAGAGGTTGTCATGGGCTGCCCGTAGGTGCAGAGTTGTTCATCGGTATAGCTCGGGACTCTCTCGCCACCAGCCTCCCACCAACAAAACGTAGTCAGCCACCCCGACAGGCTCACAATGCCGCCAGAGCTCTTTGCTGGTCCCTCATGAACTGTGCGTGCCCAAAGTTCTTGACATCGGCCCCGTCTGGAGAGTCGAAGCTGGCTACCATGTAGGTAAGGACTTTAGTCAGCCGGATGGTCCAAGCGTCCATCTCCTTGTGACCAAGGGTCTCGAACCAGGCCACACGCCTGAGAATGTCGGTCCAGTCACTTCTCTCTCCTAACAAGGTAACCGACGGAAGGCCGCAGCCGAACCGTATTCCAGATCTGAAATACTCCTGTGTAACGCCCAGGAACACTATAGCGGCT